CTGAGTGAGTGCATAATGTCAAACAAGAAAAAAATGTCAAATTCAAATACTACAAAAATGCCAAAATTAGGAATAAACCAAATTTCGGTTATTTTGGACTTTTTATCCTCATCGAGCAGTGAGGATGATGAGGAAATAGTTGTTGCACTTAGCCGTAGAGAAGAAATCCCGAGAATCAAAAACTTCATCGAAAACGTGGTCCACGAGTTCTCCGAAAAAGAGGTAAGATTTTTCAATTACAAGGCCCCGCAAAATAACTTGGCGGGAGAGCACTTTGCGCAGTAGATAAAATTAGGAATTGGAAATAGGGGCGTAACTACAGTACTTACACGTTCTTAGCTTTGCCTGGGCTAGAAAAAAGGGCCAATAACGGCTACGCCTTCCTGCGCCAGCTCTCGCCAAGTTATGTTGCGGGGCCTGTCTTCTTGGTTAAATAAAACAAATAGCAGTAGTTCACCTATTGTCTTTTATTAGTATTTTGCAACCTATATTTATTAATATTTTTTATTTTCAAAGCCACTTTCGTTTAAAAAGAAAAACTGTTTATTGACTTATTGGAAAGTTTGAAGCTTCTCCATATTTCCCTAAAAACCAATCACATGGAGGAAAAACTCCCATAAGTAGGAGAAACTGGGTAACACTGAGACACTTTTTTTTCTAATGAAAATATTTTACCATAAACCTTTAAAATATGGATTTTTTTTTTTTCAGTAACACTCAAGAATTAATCTAAGTTAGAAATTTATTATGTTTTTGATTCTATAGTCACTTACAAAGACAATATTTGACATAAACAGTTATCATGACATTTGTCTCATTGATACCCATGCAGGGGGTTCAATCAAATAAGAAATAATTACTTGAATAAACTGAAACAAACTTCTAAAAATGACCCAGACAAAGTTTCAAAGCCATGGTAGGATCGATTTCAATCTTTCCATAATTCACTGGTTTTGGCAAAATCATCTTAATATCTCTTTTAGAAACAGTGGCAATATCTCTAAAATCTGGACATTTGGGGAAACAAAAATCCCTCCTTTTTATCACTTTTCCTTAAAAATGGTAATTTATAATCATTTATGTTATCACTATCGATTTCTGATAACAATTTTCCTATGTGATAAGTACATTTTTTTCCTTTAATGTTTCAGTTGCAAATTCTACTAGAACTACATAGTCTCAGTGTTACCCATCTAAACATGTCTCATTCATACCCAAGTCACTTTGAAAAATAAAATGCCATTTTTTAGTCCCCCTTTGATTTTAATTTAGTTTTAATAAATCCAATTAACAGCAGAAAGGTTCCCTTATATCACTTAAAGACTATGCGTAATAGAAAAAATCACCGTTTTTTCAAATTTCGCAGAAAAGTTCGTTGACAAAAAAAAAAATAACCGAAAGGTTGTACCCCCTTCCGCGTTGCAGACCAAACTAAAAATGGAAGATGGTTGAAAATAGAACCGATACTCCTCTTAAGACATCATTAATGTCTTATTGCGGCGACACCTATTTAAAAAGTGAAGAAATAGCTAATATTTTGAATGTCTCACTGTTACCCGTGTCTCAATGTTACCCACTTTCCCCTAGTGAAAAACATATATTATCATTCTTATGGTAGGTATTATTTTCTGATGTAACCATTGCAATCAATTAATAGAATAGTTTAATATCCATTTATATTTTTATTAGGTTAGCAGGTAACAAAAGTTCCCTGAGAGATGTAGCACAAAGGTTCAATATTGCTTTATCTACTTTGGAACAGATTAGAGAGAGGGTAATGGACTTTTTATGTAAAGAGGTAGCACCTTCAAGTATCAAGATGCCAGCTACACAGGAAGAAAAAGATTTAATTGCCACAGCATTTGAAAAGGTACTACCAGGTATATGAAAATCTTACAATAAGTATAATATACTTATGTATTTATACATACTAATTCGAACCATACCTACCGATACAATATAATTTTTCCACAATAATTCATCAGAAAACTATTTCTGACACAGACACTGAATTGGTTTTGCTTGAACATTTTTTCGACCTATTATGGTATTTTGAGTATTTTTAAATAGGTACCTATATACATATTTGACTTTTAAAAACAATACTTCCACACATTTTGTGGAGTGAATAAATATGCAGCTGTGTCTAATTACAACTTTGCCATATTTTCTTCAAAATTTAAAACTTATTATCTTGTAATAAATTTATTAATTATTTTCTATTTACTAAGCTAGCCAAGCATTTTAAAAGTCATCGACATTACAACAGTGGGTCAGTAAAACATATAAATCAGCACCTACTTTATTAGTTAATTACCTTTGTAAATATTGCATTTATTTGTGTACAAATAGTGTTACCGTTCCTTAAATAAATTAGTATTAAATCATCAGTCGTTTGTACTCAATCACACCTAACAGTCAACTGCTTACTACAGAGTGATAGATACTACGCACCCTATCAAGTATTCGACAACAAAGAAGAAGAAGGTGCTCAGAGTGTAATCAGTCATTCTCTGCCACCTTTTCTAGTTACAAGACTTCTCATATCAAGGGAACGATTGTATAATGCCGCTTTTACTTTTGTACAGTCAGATTATTCTTTCAGATTTCAGGATTTCCTAACATAATTGGATGTATTGATGGGACTTCAATACACATTAGAACTCCTGCACACAAAATAAAGTCTACCTATGTAAATCGACATGATATTCCATCAATTACTTTGCAAGGGATATGTGATCACGAGCGGAAATTTATTGATATTTTCACAGGTATACCTGGAAAAATTCATGACGCAAGAGTTTTCAAACTTTCAGATATACGCACCAAGCTTCCTGATATATGTGCTGATAAATATCATTTATTAGGAGACAATGCATATCCGATTAGAACCTACTTATTAACACCCTACAAGGATTATGGAAATTTAACAAATAATAAAAAAAAAATCAATACCAAATTATCGTCATGTCGAGTTAGAATTGAAAATTGTTTCGGAATATTAAAGGCAAGATTCCGGCAATTACTGCAGCTTGATATGCAATCAGTTTTAAAAATAACAAAATTCATAATAAGTTGCTGCGTTTTACACAATTTGTGCATTGAAAGAGGGGACTACATTGACCTAGATCTAGATGATCTACCAGATCCACAAATGGACTTTGGAGCCGAGGTGGATCCTGATATCCAGTTAAGAAGACAAGGGGAGAGAAAGAGAGATATTATTTACAGTTTTTGTGAGTGGTTTAATAAACAAATGAAAATAACTTTTTTTTAAATAAAAAATAACTGATAAAATAACATAACAATTACTTACACAAATACATAAGTTATAAGAAAAAATAGTTATATTATACCTATAATTTTCTAGAAAAATATGAAACAATCATACAGAAGGAGATGGAAAATTGAATAACAATTATTCTCTTGAAAAGAAAATAAAAAACTTATAAATACCTACAAAACGAGATTAAACCTCAGAGTAATACTACATAAATAGAGAGGGCAAGTCATTCATAAAATCGTTTGGTTTCTGCGGCCAACAATCCTAAACGACAATAGTGGATTAATGAATGAACTACATGGAGTGGGGATAAGATTGCCGACAATGCGGGCCAATCACAAACAAAACCCGTTTGACATTTCTTACTATGAATACTACAGCGCATTCGCGATAATGATCGGGCTTGCTCCGGCAATATTTGCATCCTTCTTTATCTGGTTATCTTAACAAAGATAAAACGATTTAGGTGGGCGTTCATAGACGAATACAACCAGGTTCCCAGATTTTAGGCAGTGTTGCCATTTTCAGCTAGCACAAAATCTTATTCAAATTTTATTGTGATAATAGATTATTATTTTATATAATAATTATTCCCATTCAATTTTGGAAAGCACCGCGATATTTTATGTTATAATTGTATATGTTACTGTAAATGCCCGAAATTCGGTAAAACCTAGGATAAGCGCGCTAAACCTAGGATTTACCAAAAGCAAGTGGTAAAAGCCCGAAAACTAGTTATTTTGCTATCATTTCGGACTTTTACCGGACACAAACAGTAAATCTTAGGATTTACCACACCGCATTGGTGAAAGTACGAATACCACTGATACGTTACAGAAATCGATATTTCTTGAGTCCTGGAGATTCCATCTCAGGAAATTAGCGGAAGAAGTGCAGTGTGAAAATTGTCGTTATGTAGTGGCCAAGGGTTTAAGGAATGCAATTCCATTCAAAAATATTTCAAAAAATTATACTTAAATATTAAAAGAACAAATCCTTTTATTTATTAAATGAAATAAATGAATTGAAATGTCCACTAATAGAAATATTTATTTATTGGTACACGGCAAACTTCCATGCATTTAGAATTTCAGAGTATTTTAGAGAATCTGCACAAACATCTTTTGGTGGAACATTTTTGAATGCAATTGCATTCCTTAAACCCTTCTTCCGCTAATTTCCTGAGATGGAATCTCCAGGACTCAAGAAATATCGATTTCTGTAACCTATCAGTGGTATTCGTACTTTCACCAATGCGGTGTGGTCAATCCTAAGATTTACTGTTTGTGTCCGGTAAAAGTCCGAAATGATAGCAAAATAACTAGTTTTCGGGCTTTTACCACTTGCTTTTGGTAAATACTAGGTTTAGCGCGCTTATCCTAGGTTTTACCGAATTTCGGGCATTTACAGTAACATATATACATATACCTATCTAGATTTTTATATTTGCGATAGATTTTTTCCAATTTCCAATTCCATTTTCCTTGCAACTTAGGACAATTTATAAATATGGCACATCTGCAGTAAGTGTCCGCAAGTGATCTTAGAATGGGAGTCAATGTTTGGGGCATCTTTTAATCATAATAAACCTATCTATTTCATGTGTTAATCTGAGGATTAAACCACCAGTTCCTTTAGTTTCATCACTTCAACCACAGTATTTTTTTTAAATCTTTAGATTTTTAATCAACACCTGGAATTATAATTTTGTTGAATGCTAAACATATCTTTGATTAGCTTTAATTTTTCCTGATGGCGCTTTTCTTTTGCCTCTTCTTTTTTTCCATAAAGTGTCTTGGACACTTGGTTTTAGTCTTTTTTCTGCTGAAGTTTTGGGAGTTGAGTCAAAATCTTCAGGCAATCTCTTTTTTGGTTGAGGGGATTCTGTTTCTCTTTCCTCGGTTCCATAGGAAGTAGAGGTACAGGATGTATTGTTATTTGATGATTTTAGTACTTTAATGGATTGTGCTGTACCAACAATCTCTGGTAATATTGAATCATCTAAGGATGCAATTTTAGTTAGCTCCTCTTCGAATGGAATTATGGCTCTAGAATTGCCAGATTTTTTGTTGTTATCCACAGCAGCTTTTTTCCTTTTCAGCACTGTTTTATATCGATTTTCGAACTGATTTCCTGTTGTTTGCCTTCCAAAAGTTCTGTTTAATATTTCTGCTATTTTTGACCACATAGATTTTTTGGTTTTGAATTTTTTTTGTCGTCCTACTTTAGACATAAACTCTTCATATGTGTCCAGTAATATTTTGGTTTCTTCATCATTCCAAACTGAAAATAGAACAACATTATTATTTGAATTTTAAACTTTTACAATAATTCCCAAAAGTATTACTACAGCGGAACCACGCTGTACACGAATTTCGGTTTCTGCGCAAAAATTTCAGGTTTTGCGCAGAATCCTGACGGTAATATTACGATTTCCTGCTAGGTTGGAACAAAGCAAACAATATTTTTATGAATAGATGCTTCTATCTGGAACAACCTCAGTCTCGGTATTCATATAATTTCTAACATTTTTGTGAAATAATAAAAGCAATGACTCTTTTATTTGTTAATTAGACACTCACAAGTTATTTCTCTGCAATTCTGGATGTTTTGAGTTTGAGTATTTTCTTTCTCTGTTTCGATGAGGCTATCAAAGAAATCATAACCATTAGCCAACAATGGGTATATTTGCCTTTCACTGAAATTGGAAATGTTCACATTTTAAAACACATTCTCAATTCTGGAGGTACGTACTTACCTGCCATCCTCAGCAACCCTATAGACTTTACTCATTGGTTCCCGTAGAGAAATGAAGTCATTATTCACAAGTTCAGTTAGATATTGAACTGTGAAAGTATCATCATCTAAAAATCATACATAGGTAACATCTAAAAATCATACATAACATAGTCGCGATATTTGGGTTTTCGGTAAAAATTGGTACTATTACCTACTTTTTGGCTTAATATCTAAAGACTTTACCTACTTACTTGTTATTTTAAATAAATGATCGGATTCACCTTCAGGCTCAAATAATGTTATCAGTTCTTCATTGATTTTGAACTTCAGCGACATTTTGTGATCTTCAAATAAACTTCAAACATAAACGAAACCACAGAAACAGAAGTCAGCAAAACACAAACTCGCAACCTGTCAAAAAGCTGAACTCAAAAATTTGAATTTACCGTGCTTTCAAAGCACCCGCATTGAAAAATCGTGTTCGATTAGACCTGCACTAGAGCGAACTTTTGGCAAAACTAAAGTGCGTTTTTTTTTTAAAGATAAAAGTCAAAATGACATTCTGTTGGCAATACAATGTAAAATTGTCAATGCTTTCAAATTTTTTATGTAGAAAAGGCTTGTGTTGCCAACATAGTTACTAGATTTTTGACTTGGGGAATTATCTTTAAAAAAAAACGCACTTTAGTTTTGCACGGGGGGGAAACCAGTGCAGAACTGACTTTACCAATCGGATTTTATTATTTTTTTTTAATATTGCTTTTTGATATTGGATCTTACAGCGACTTAACTTTAGTTTCAAATCTTTCATGCAAAAATATAGTTTAAAAAAACTAAAGAACACGCTTTTATAGTAAATTGAACTAAAAAGTGAAAAATAATAAATATAAACAGAAAATATTAATGAACAAAAAATATTAGAATTATTGTGAAAAAAGCGTGGGGTGCTTTGTTCCACATTTCTCGTACATTGAACACCCCACGCTTTTTTCACAATAATTCTAATATTTTTTGTTCATTAATATTTTCTGTTTATATTAAAAATTATTTTTCACTTTTTAGTTCAATTTGCTATAAAAGCGTGTTCTTTAGTTTTTTTAAACTATATTTATTTTTTACTTTTTAGTGAAGCGTGTTAATTCCAGGCCTTTTCCAGACGTTTCCAGGGGCGAGTTGAGAAATAACACACCGCGTGTGAGTGCGATTTTATGGGTGTGACTGAAATGACAATTCTTAGGCGACAACTTTCGTATGAATTTCTGAACACTTGGTGTGACCAATCGAACATCTCAAAAAATTCACCAAATCTATTAGAATTACTTTTTTTTGTTGTTCCTTTTTGTAATTTGAAGGAAAAATTTTAATTCTTATTTGTGTTTTGTTTATATTTGGTGGGATTATTGAGATTATGGGAGGAATGGTTGACATTGTTGACATAGAGACACAATCACATCGCAGCCACACCAAAAAATTATGGTGTGACCGGTGCTACACCTGGAGCGCGCCCGAAGTACTTTCTGAACGGCACAGAGTGCGCGCACTCGGTGTGCCTATAGCAATTATGAACGGCTAGTGCGTCGAACGGTGTCACACTCACACTGAGTGTGTCATTCCTGAACTCGCCCCAAAGATTTCCAGACTTATTCAGAGCTTTCCAGAGTTTTCCAGATTTTATCCAGATTTATCCAGACTTGTACAGACTAATCCGGATTCTGGAAAATGATCCCCAGGTCTTTTGGGACCTTTTCCAGAATTTTTCCGACCTTTTCAAGAAATTTTCAGGCCTTTTCCAGACGTTTCCAGACATTATCCAGACTTATCCAGAGCTTTCCAGAGTTTCCAGACTTCATCCAGATTTATACAGACTTCATCCAGACTGATCCGGATTCTGGAAAATGATCCCTAGGTCTTTTGGGACGTTTTCCAGAATTTTTCCGATCCTTTCCAGAAATTTTCAAGTCTTTTCCAGACGTTTCCAGACTTTTCCAGACAATATCCAGACTTATCCAGAGTTTTACAGACTTGTCCAAATTTATGCAGACCTTATCCAGACTTTTACAGACTGATCCTGACTCTTGAAAATGATCCCCAGGTCTTTTGGGACCTTTGGCAGAATTTTTCCGACCTTTTCCTGAAATTTCCAGGCTCTTTCCAGACGTTTCCAGAGATTTCCAGACTTTTCCAGACATTTTCCAAACTTTTTTAGACATTTTCCAGACTTTTCCAGGCTCTATCCAGATTTATCCAGACTTGTACAGACTGCTCCAGACCTTATCCAGTTCTTTCCTGACCTCTCTGGACTTCTTCCAAACACTTGCCCGACTTGTTCCAGCTCACTTGGCTTGTTTCAGGTTCTTGTTCATACACTTCCCAAGAGTCCAAAAGTTCGCACGCATTCCTATGTGCCCCTATAAGCCACTTGCTTTTAGTCCAAAGGAGAGTTACTTACAAACATACATACATACAAACATACAAACATACAGGTGAAGCTAATATAAGCGTGTTAATAAATATAGTTTAAAAAAACTAAAAAACACGCTCTTATAGTAAATTGAACTAAAAAGTGAAAAATAATTTTCAATATAAACAGAAAATATTAATGAACAAAAAATATTAGAATTATTGTGAAAAAAGCGTGGGGTGCTTTGTTCCACATTTCTCGTACATTGAGCACCCCACGCCTTTTCACAATAATTCTAATATTTTTTGTTCATTAATTTTTTCTGTTTATATTGAAAATTATTTTTCACTTTTTAGTCCAATTTACTATAAGAGCGTGTTTTTTAGTTTTTTTAAACTATATTTATTTTTCACTTTTTAGTTCGATGTATTATTCTGTTGTTCATTTGTTTATTTTGAAGAAAAAACTTTAATTCTTATGCGTGTTTTGTTTATATTTTGTGGGATTATTGTGGATTATTAAGATTATGGAAGGAATGGTTGACATTGTTGACATAAAGACACAATCAAAAAATTATGGTGTGACCGGTGCGACGAGGGTGCGACACCTGCAGCCGGATTACAATTTCACTAGTCGACACGAGTCGAGCGTCTCAGATAGGCAACAACAACGTTATTTCTGAGTCGCATCCTTCGACTTCGAACAATTAGAATCCCCATCCTGGAGTGTGCCCGAAGTACTTTCTGAACGGCACAGAGTGCGCGGACCATTTATCATTTATAAACGGCTAGTGCGTCACACCGCACCGGTATCACACTCACACTGAGTGTGTCATTCCTGAATTCGCCCCAGAGATTTCCAGACTTTTGCAGACATTATCCAGACTTATTCAGAGCTTTCCAGAGTTTTCCAGATTTCATCCAGATTTATTCAGACTTGTACAGACTGATCCGGATTCTGGAAAATTATCCCCAGGTCTTTTGGGACTTTTTCCAGAATTTTTCCGACCCTTTCAAGAAGTTTCCAGGCCTTTTCCAGACGTCTCAAGAGATTTCCAGACAATATCCAGACTTATCCAGAGTTTTACAGACTTCATCCACATTTATCCAGCCCTTATCCAGACTTGTACAGACTGCTCCAAATTCTAGAAAATGATCCCAAGGTCTTTTGCGACCTTTTCCAGAATTTTGCCGACTCTTTCAAGAAGTTTCCAGGCCTTTTCCAGACGTTTCCAGACTTTTCCAGACGTTTTCAGACTTTTTCAGACATTATCCAGAGTTATCCAGAGCTTTCCAGAGTTTTCCAGACTTCATCCAGATTTATCCAGACTTTATCCAGACTTTTCCAGACTGATCCGGATTCTAGAAAATGATCCCCAGGTCTATTGGGACCTTTTCCAGAATTTTTCCGACCCTTTCCAGAAATTTCCAAGTCTTTTCCAGACGTTTCCAAAGTTTTCCAGACTTTTACAGACAATATCCAGACTTATCCAGAGTTTTACAGACTCTATCCAGATTTATCCAGACCTTATCCAGACTTGTACAGACTGATTCGGATTCTGGAAAAATGATCCCCAGGTCATTTGGGACCTCTGGCAGAATTTTTCCGACCCTTTCCAGAAATTTCCAGGCTCTTTCCAGACGTTTCCAGAGATTTCCAGACATTTTCCAGGTTTTATCCAGATTTATCTAGACTTGTTCCAGCTCACTTGGCTTGTTCCAGGTTCTTGTTCATACACCTCCCAAAGGTCCAAAAGTTCGCGCGGATTCCTATGTGCCCGTGCGATAAACATTTTCAATGTTACTTACAAACATACATACATACATACATACATACATACATACATACATACATACATACAGGTGAAGCTAATATAAGCGTGTTAAAAAGGGTTTTCGCACTGCTCAGAGCTATCTTTTAGACTACAGCAGTTCTGGGAATACTTAGTTTGAAAGCTTTTTAGTTGGGTGTTATGATTGTCAGACACATGACGTTTTTCAAAACATGTCTCTTCGAATTCTGATATTAATCTAGCAACTTCTGGACCACTAATAGCCCATCTTTTCAACGAGGACGGATCAGCAGTAAGACCCACTGCTCCACCTTCACCCTTAATAGTTGCAATATTTTGTTCATGTGCATGGTCGATCCCAAGGGCAGAAAAAGGGTGATCAGTTTTTCGGACAACAAAGCTACCTAAGAATTAAATTATTGGTGATAGATCACTTTAGGTCCCTTTGATTTACAATATGATTCTGATTATTACTGATAAATAAAGCAATTTCAAGATGGTTAGTGAAATAAAAAATACATGGATCCTTGAATTTTAACCAAGTTATGATTTTTTTTAATTTAATTTTTTTCTTTGTTGATAGCGTATTTTTGATAGGTATAGCGATATTAAGCTGATAAGAATAGATATTATTTATTGATCTGTGTCAAAGGTTGAGAAGCGCATGCACGGAGGACATTTGATAGGTTGTTATGAAAATGACCAGTTTGTCATTTACTGCCGCTTGGATTTGGTTCAACCATAGTGATTTTTTACAATTATTATTATTTTGTTTATTTATTTTGTTTAATTTTAATAGATTTCTATTTTATGGCAAAATCAGCATACTACCATGGTAAATATTTACAATATTTAATGTTTATGGAGATGTTTTTTTTTGAGGTTTTTTACTGATTTTTGAGTGATGGTTTGATATTATTAAAAGTTGGTGTTTTATTGTGTGTATTTTAAATTTCAGATTTTCATAACAAACGAGACCAAAACGTCAGACAAGTTCAATTTTTTGATTTTATCGGCTTTTACTTGGTGGAAATCCATTATCTAATAAAAGATTTTTTAAGTAAATTTTAATAGTATTAAAATTTACTTAGAAAATCTTTTATTAAGTTCAATTTTGTTTTGTGGTATTCTAAGTGAAGAAGT